CAATAAGACTTCAAATTAAGACACTCATAATGAAAGGGAAGCCCTTGAGAATTACTTGGATTAAGTTGTTTTGACCTAACCTGGGGACCGTTGTTTGTTCCATTAGTTTCCAAAGCGTCCCCCTATATTATCCTCAGAAAAACTTTCCCATATAATTATAGTAATTGCCTGCGCTATTATCTTCTGCTTCACTTCCCGCCTTTAAGCACAGAAAAGTCTTTAATTGGCCCCAGGAGGCATAAAGAACACACCATGTTGAAACAAGAGGAAAGGGATGATATTAAATGACAAAATTACAAAATGACACGGTGTCATACACGTTGTTGTGTGATGTTCTGTCTCTTTTTGTGTTATTCTCCCTGGGGTACTCTTGTCTCAGTGGAATCAATATAAACACCCAGGGCTCAGTAAAGAACAGCTGTTTTCTAAGAAGAACCCACATGAAGCTGCCTTGTACTGAATCACTGCACTGGTCCATCAAGGTCAGTAATGTCTGCTCAGACTGGCAGCAGCTCTCCAGGGTCTCAGGCTGAGGTCTTTGACATCAACTGCTGCCTGGTTCTTTTAAGTGGAGATTCTGGGGACTGAACCTGAGACCTTCTGCATTCTAAGCACGTCCACTCAGCCTCAAAGAGGACAAGGGACTTGGCAACGGCTTTGGCAGAGCAGATCCAATAGGTGCATTTACTTCATACCAGGCCCTCAGATGATTGGGTCTGACATGTCCTATCAAAGAACTGTGGAGTCATCAATGGATATAGGGTAGCTACTTAAGCTGGTGGTGGTGCCACCAGAAAGTGCTGCACTGTGGCTCAAAAAGAACAAAAAAATGGATATGCAGTTTCTTGGAAGGAGGTCCCGGCACCCACCTTTTGTCATGGTGGACATGATGGACCCTGCTGTGAAGAGCAATTCAAAGAATTCACTTAGCTTCTCGGCAGTCTCCCGATGATACTTTCACTAATCTTGTTAAGAGATGCAGATTGTTTGTTTCGAAGGTGTCACTGGACTCAAATGTAGGGTTGTCAGGTCTGGGTTGGAAAATACCTGGAGACTTTGGGGGTGGATCCAGGAAAGAGCGGGATTTAGGGAGGGGAGGGGCCTCAGCATGGTACAGTGCCATAGAGTCCATCCACCCTTCAAGGCAGCCATTTTCTCCAAGGAAGCTGATCTCTGTCAGTTGGAGATCAGTTGTAAAAGCAGGAGATTTCCAGGCCCCACCTGGAGGCGGGCAACCCTACTCAAATGTCATTCTCACAGGTCTACAGGTTAACGTTTATAGTTGCATACTAATCTTGCCCGAATCCAATATCAGGGCTATTTTGGGGCGGGAACGCACAGGAACGGAGTTCCGGCTGGCTCCCGAGTTGGCCACGCCCAGCAGGAACCTATTAGCATACTAAGCCACACCCAACAGCAGAAACTCATTAGGATTGGCTACATTAGGGATGTGTGGTCTAACATGCAAAGGAGTTCCTGCTACAAAAAAAAGCCCTGGGTTTTGACAACCAACAAGGTAAACAGAATAAGAAGCAAAAGGTGGGTGTGGCTGGATAACCACACTTCTGGCAACAGGGGTGTGGCCTCATATGCTAATGACCTGTGCTGTCAGGGGTGTGGCTTAATAAGATAATATGTTCCTGCTGTTGGGTGTGGCCAATTATGCTAATGAGTTCCTGCTGGGCTTTTTCTACAAAAAGAGCCCTGGCTATAATCACCCAGTTCTTATGCATCTTCCTTCTAACTGGTCTTTCCTGACAACCACCCCCACCCCATATGTAATGGTTGAAGAGATTCTGTTCTCTGTATCTAAAGAAGTGTGCCTTGCACATGAAAGCTTGTACCTTGAATTAAACTTTGTTGATCTTAAAGGTGCCACTGGACTCAAATTCTTTAGTAGTAGTGGAAGGAGTAACATTTACAGAGGCTTCTCTTACTGTCTTCTTATAAAAATAGATTCAGATGGGTAGTCATGTTGGTTTGAAGCAATAGAACAAAGTTTGACTGCAGTGGCACCTTTAAGACCAATAAGTTTAATTCTGGTATAAGCTTTCGAGCGCATGCACACTTCTTCAGATACATGAAAATATATACCTAAAATCAAACTTGTTGGTCTTAAAGGTTCCACTGGACCCAAACTTTGTTCTCTTGTAAAAATGAAAGCTATCACTCCTGTTCAGATATTATTCTAATCCCCATCAGGCAACTGAAGAAATGGAATCTCTCTCCCAGGGCTCTTTTTGTAGAAAAAGCCCAGCAGGAACTCATTAGCATAATAGGCCACACCCAACAGCAGGAACTGATTAGCATATTGGGCCACACCCCTGACAGCACAGCTCATTAGCACATTAGGCCACACCCCCATGTTACCAGAAGTGTGGTTATCCAGCCACACCCACCTTTTGCTTGTTATTTTGTTTACCTTGTTTGTTGTCAAAACCCAGGGCCTTTTTTTGTAGCAGGAACTCCTTTGCATGTTAGGCCACACACCCCTAATGTAGCTAATCCTAATGAGTTTCTGCTGGGCGTGGCCAACTTGGGAGCCAGCCAGAACTCCATTCCTGTGCGTTCCTGCCCCAAAATAGCCCTGCTCTCTCCACTTTTGCAGGGCTACCAAATCCCAGGTTGGTGTGGTATAGCTGTTAGAGTGTAGGACTAGGATATCTAGATGGGTGGGTAGCTGTGTTGGTTGGAAGCAACAGAACATAGTCTGAGTCCAGTGGCACCTTTAAGACCAAAGAAGTTTAATTCTGGGTATAAGCTTCCTTGTACATGCACACTTCTTCAGATTCTAAGAAGTGTGCATGTACATGAAAGCTTATACCCAGAATTAAACTTGGTTGGTCTTAAAGGTGCCACTGGACTCAAATGTCGTTGTAGGACAACTAGGTTTGAATTCTTCACTCAACCACGGGAGCTTGGCAGGTGACTCTGGGCCCCTCACAATCTTTTCGCCTAAGCTCCCCTCACAAAGTTGTTGTAAAGATTAAGTGGAGGAATGGAAAACAACGTGAAAAGCCATTTTGAGTCCTCCATCAGGGAAAATAGTGGGATATAAATAACATATTAGGAAATTCCTGGAGATTTGGGGGCAGTGGTTGGGGTCTGAGGAGAAAAGTGAACTCAGCACAGATGCTGGAAAACATGCCCTCTGATGTCTCAGTTGCCTCAAAGGACAGTTCCCCCCTTTCTGTGAAGTCACTTCCTCCCACCAAAATTCAAGTGGCCCACTTCCCCCACCTTGCATCATCCATAGGCTTCTGTTTACCATACTAACCCTTTGAGCCTAAATATTTGTGCTGGTACAACTGGCTACTGCCCTGACCTGGGTAGCCTAGGCTAGCCTGATTTCATCAGATATCAGAACTAACTAAGCAAGGTCAGCCCTGGTTAGTGTTTGGATGGAACACCACCAATGAACTCCAGCGTCGTGATGTAGAGGCAGGGAATGGCAAATCACTTCTGAACGTCTCTTGCCTTGAAAACCTGACACGGTCGCCATAAGTTGGTTGCAACTTACTGGCTGCTATCCAGCTACGTTCCACTCAGCCTACAGAAACCTCTCAAAATCCTCATCATAAGAACATAAGAGACGCCAATCTTGGATCAGGCCAAAGGCCCATCCAGTCCAACATTCTGTGTCACACAGTGGCCAGAAATACCAGGTGCCATCAGGAGGTCCATCAGCTTTTGCCTTAAATGTTAAGGAGAAAAATTCACTCTGAAGTGGGGTTGCCATTCTTCAAATGGGGCTTCGGCTTCTTTCAGAATTACAAGTCATCTACGGAATACAAAAATCAGTTTTCCCTGAACGAAATGGCTGCTGTGGAGGGTGGACTCCATGACATTATGCCCCACTGAGGGCCCTCCCCCTCTCAAACCCACCCTCCCCAGGCACCGCCACTACTACCATCTCCAGGAATTTTCCAGCTTGCAGTTGGCAGCCTTAAAGCCCAACAGAGATAACTGACTAACAGCAGCCTCATCCTTCCTCTGAGCTTTACAGGGAACCATTTCTTGTAATCTCCGTGGTATACCACAGGATAAGGAGTAGTCCTAGAGCACCCACTCTCTGCAGCTACTCTCGGCCTTCCCTTTCCCCTAGATGCTCTAGTCTAGTTTCATACAGTCCACCCTATAAAGCTGCCATAAGAGATAAACTAAAATTTGCAAGAAGTAAGCAGCATGAGGAAGAGCAAGTTTTGCTTTTCCCCCCCCCCTAAGGCCCCAGCAGAGGCAGTATTAGGAGGAGAGAGATACTTCAAAGGATCTGTATCTTACTACTTGCAAGGAAAGTTAAGACCAACGCGTTTACTGCTTCCAGAGGGGGACGGGAAAGAACAGGACAGTAGACAAACAGTAGATCTTTGTGTGGAAGGCATGTGAGGGAGCAATGTAGTTGCTGTTAGTCTAATTCTTCAAAGCAGGTACATGGTCCTTATGTTAAAGAGACCTTCAGAAGTGTAGCCATAATAGCTAAAAGTCTCAGGCAAGGACTCGGGTTTCTAGCGGAGGAATGTTGAGTGTTCCTAGCGGAGGAATGTTGAGTGTTCACTTCTAGCTGATTTATGTTACCCAAAAAACAAACAAACATTCAGGTGTACTTAAGTACTTGGCCATATAATTTAGTGTCTTGTATTACTAATTTGTCTTTTTAGGAGTGTCATCGAAGGTATAACTAATGCTGATTTCGTCTGTTAATTCACCTGTCATTAGAGATTAATGATTCAGACAACTGGCATCACCCCATGTTCTCCCTGTACCTGTTCATCAGTAAGTATATTTATATGCTCCCAGCAGCTGTGCCAGAAAAGCAGAAAACAAGACATGACCAACAAGGTTTTTTTGTTGTTGTTAATTTGCAGATCTTCTAGTGGAACAGGACACAACTGAAGTCAATCAAATTCGATGGATTTGATCCAAAAGTCCCCGTACACTGAGAAGAATCCAGCTGCCTCTAGCCCTCGCCGGTTGGGGAAGCTGAGCTCCTGGCCTCCAGGAAGTTTCACCTTCACCTCTTTCTTATCAAAGGAGATGCTGACCTAAGGAGAGATATAAAGGGCTTAAATACTGCCATTTCCCCGGGAGAATATTGGATTTCTTCTTTTCAATTGACCAAAGATATAGCTTCCCCTGCCCAAACACACACCTCTGCACCAAGCAACTAGGCCCAGGGTTACCAACAGACTGGGAGAAAAATGTCCTGTCCCTCGAAAAGAAGGTTAATGTGAAGAAACAGGCAGCTGAAGCCGCTGCTTCTTTTTTTGTGATGTGGTGGTAAAATATCCCATTAAGCGTCTGTAACCCTGTGAGTTTGGCCCTCTACTGGAGTTTGGGGGGGGGGAAATGTATTTTATCCCTGAGGGGGAGCTGTAGGAGACTCCTGAGGTAAAGGACACTCCTAAGGAGGGGAAATAATTCTGAGGAGAAGGAGACAGAAGCCATCGGGGTCCAAGGGCAGGAGAAGGAGCCAAGTCACTCTCTTCCCTGCTCTTGGAATCAGTTGGCTTCCTTCTCCCTTTCTTCTCCTCAGAATTATTATTTTTCCCTCAGGACTGTCCTAGGGCTCCTCCTCAGGGACAAAATACTCCACCCTCAAACTCATCCAGCAAGCTTCCACAGCAGAGTGGGGATTCGAATCTGGACCTCCCAAACCCTAATCTCACACTGTCCTACACCAAACTGGGTCACGCATATACTAAGATGCATATCAAACAACTTTGCTTCCAGTTTGTACCAATAGTGTATACAAATACACTAAACGTTAATTTGACCATCAAGAGCAGGTTAGGCCTTTGTACCTTGTTGAGTCTCACCCCATACACTCCAGATGACACCCCTCCACCCTAAAAGTTGTCAAAATGTGGAGTTAAGGGCTGCGTTTTTTTTTTTTTAACATTATCCAAAAGGACTTATTTTGCCAGCACCTAACACACAGTGACATACTTGTGTACAGAAACACACACAGAAACACTAGAAATAGGGTCTTATTCTGTATCTATGCCCTCTACGTGATAGTGATCAAACTGAAGCCAGAAGGATGGGTGACACGAAGCTCTTCAGGGAGGTGTACCTGGCCCCTTTTCAGGTTTTAGGAGGCAGTTGAAAACTGTTTTATTTAGGACTAGGGAAAAGGGCCGTTGTGGAAATAAATACAACGGCCTCTAGAAAGAGGCTCTGAGCGGGTGCCCCGGCCTTGGACACTCAGTGTCAATTTGCTGTGGTGACCTCAGCAGGGTATAATGACACTGAGTCCACCATTTTCTCCAGAGGAACTGATCTCTGCTACCTAAAGAACAGTTGTAATTTTGAGTGATCTCCAGCCTTCACCTGGAGATTGGTAACGATGGTTTCCCAGAAGGGAATAGTTGGTTTGGAGGGTGGAGTCAATGGCTTTGTACCTGTCCGAGGTCCCACGCCTCCTGAAACCTCACCCTCTCCAGGCTCCATCCCTCACATCTCCAGGAATTTCCCACCTGGAGTTGGCAACCCTATCTCCTTCCCAGCCAATCATCAACCTACTTTTATTTCCCCCTCACTCTTCAGCTTTCCACCCCACACACACCTGCAGCCTCTCCCGTGCTCTGAAGCCCTGACTGCTACGTCACATTGGCTGTCATATGGGGGCCACCTCAGCAGCATATAAGGATACAAAGCCCACCATTTTCTCCAGGGGAATTGATCTCTGCCATCTGGAAAGCAGTTGTAATTCTGAGTGATCTCCAGCCCTCACCTGGAGATTGGACACATTTTACCTCAGAACAGCAAACTGTTTAGAATGTTAGAGGCAAAAGCCAATCAAATCGCATATGCAAACGACCTCTGTGTTCCGAGGCAAAGGCCAATGAGGCTGCATATGCAAATAACCTCTGTGTTCTGACTGGCTATGGGGGGAAGAGGAACAGCAAAAGAATGTTGGAGGCAGGACTCAAGCAAAGCAGCCAGTGGATAGGGAGACCCTCTGAATGACAGATCAGAGAGCGAACTGATTTTGGAGCGTGTGGAATGTTCTAGAGAAGTGCCACCACCATTCGGCTTTTATTTATAAGGGAGATTGTATTTAATTAAAGTAGTTCTAAACTATTATTTTGAATTTGGGGAGGTTATTTGGTTTTTTTTAATGTGTTTTATTAAGATTTTAAGCTGTGTTGAGCTCTGTGAGGAAGAAATTCAGCTAATAAATATTTTAAATAAATGAATAAGAAATTCCCCCCAAGATTTCCAGTCCCTGGGTCCTTGCACTGTACTCTTCTACTCACTGTGGTTTCTTGTCCCTGCTGGAAGGGGAAGAAAGACGGCCGGAACTCCTCACCCCAGTCGCCACATGCCATGGAGTTCAATACAATGGTCCTGGTATCTCCATGGGAATCAAAGCGTGGGTTGAAGTGAAGGATCAGATCAGAGCTATTCCGACCAATGTTGAGAGCAAAGCTAATTACATACACAAGAAATTGTGAGAGACAGGTTCTGTATCAGAGGGACAAAGCCTTCCTTGGCCTCCTCCCCCCAGTGTGTAACCAACCATGATCCCTGCTACCTGGCCCGTAGCTAACATGGGGCCCACGGGGCCTGGCCCCCTAGTGTTTCTTCTGGGCCTCCTCCCTCTAGGGCTGCCCCCAAAGTGCTCCAACTGACCACCTGCACTGTACTTTCATTTCATTAGCTGGTGGGCCCCCCAAGGCCCCCTCCCAAAGAATTCCCTAGCTACGGGGCTTCACACACACACACCCCTGGCCCGCCCTCTTCTACCTGTACAAACCTCTTTGCCTCTGGCATCACAGTCCCATTTACTCTGATGCATTCTCCAGCATTGAACTTCATATGGGAGACCACCAGTTTCTTAAGGAAGAACAGACAGAAGTGTTAGCAAGGGAGAATGTACCTTCCAAAAGCATGGAAGGACGAGGAAATATTTCCGCCTAGTGCAAGGATCCCAGATAAAAGCACAGAAGTCCACTGCATAGAAGGTTCCATCATGAGTTCTACAGCCAACTGATTACTAAGAAGATGTAGTTAGATTCAAGTCCAGTAGCACCTTAGAGAGAGGAATACCAGCCTTCAGGTGGGACCTGGGGGATCTTCTGGAATCACACCTCATCTCCAGACTACAGAGATCAGCTCCCCTGGGGAAAATGGATGCTTTGGAAGGCAGACTCTATGGCATTGGACCCCACTAGAGGTCCCTCCCCTCCCCTGGTTCCACCCCCAAATCTCCAGGAGTTCTCCAACCTAGATCTGGCAACCCTAACCCCACATGCAGCTGGCTAAGAGGAGACCTGGCAAACCAACAAGATTTTCCGGTGATGCGCTTTTGAAAGTCAAACTCCCTTCATTAGATGGAAAGAGCTTTGACTCGTGAAGGTGCTACTGGGCGCGAATCTAACTGCTCTACTGCAGGCCAACACAGCTAACCCTCTGAAACTAGAAAGATACGGCACGTATGTCAGAAGATCTGGACCCTCACGGGAAATAGCTGTATGCAGTACCATTAGGGTATATGGCTCTTCATAGAGTTTGAAACTTCAGAGGCTTAGGGTGTTCCTAGCTACTCTTTTTAAGGTCTTTCAAACAGCAACAATCTCCTGCAGTTTTCCCACTACTGCTGCAGCCACCAGCAACAGGTGGGTGGCTTCTCTTGCATTTCTCCTGTTATCCACAGCCAGTACCCAGGAGCCGTTGTGTTGGATTCTTTTTCAAGGATGAACAATAGCTAGATGACTAGTATAACATAGGGATGCTGACCTTCAGGCGGGGCCTAGGGATCTCCAGGAATTACAGCTCAACTCCAGACTACAGTAGGATTACCAGGTCCCTACCTTCTGTCAGTGTGTGTGGGGGCGAAGCTTCTGTCCTTGAGTTTTCTGGCCCACATGCATAGCATGTGCATCGCAATGACATCACCCAGTAGTAACATCATTGTGCTAGGTACGTCACTGGGGGGGAAACTCTAGCATTCAGCCAGGAACTCTATGGTACCTTAGAGTTTTTTGGCTGAGTGCTAGAGTGTCCACCTGCCAATGTGCCTGATGCGGTAATGACACCTCCGGGTGATGTTATCACTCCAGGCACGTAGGCATGATCTTGGCACTTCGGGGGCGGGGCTGCCCCCGCTGGCTGGATCTGGCCAGGCAGATCAGGGGCCCCTAAAGTGGGCAAACCCCGCCCCTAGTGGGGGAATGGCAAGCCCAGACTACAGAGATCAGTTCTCCTGGAGAAAAAGGATGCTTTGGAGCATGGACTGTATGGTACTGAGGTCCCTGTCCTCCCCAGGCTCCACCCCCAAAGCTCTGGGAATATCCCAGTCTGGAGATGGCGATCTTACCCCCTGCCCTTGCCGGTGGCCATGGGTGACCTGGCAATCCCATGGCACGTCTAACAGGGCCTCTGAATTTCCTGCTTTAGTTTTTTCCCCCACTGAAGTGCCGAGTTGAGCCCCTCGTGTTGTGGAGCCAGTAGAGAAAAGGTGCATTTTAGCAACCAAAGGGCTAGAGCCGTGGTTCCCAACCCTTCGACATGGAGACTCTTTCAGTGGCAAAATCTTCACAGACACCTGCATGATAGTAGCTGTACTATTAGATAAGATATATGGTGATTTTAAAAAGCTACTATGAATTCAGTGCCACTTCTAAATTAATTAGTATTTTATTGATCAGAACAGCAACATCTACATACATTTGAAAAAAGAGTAGAACAGTTAGATTTGAGTCCAGCAGGACTTTAGAGACCAAGAAGAGTTTCAGGGTGTAAATTCTCAAAGGGAACTTTTGACTCTCAAAAGCTAAAAAACATTTTGATTTACAGAAGTAGAGTTAGGGTGTGTATTTTAATTACTCCTGGGATCAACCCTTGTTTCTCTGTGCCTTAGTCATCAACATTTTTGCCAGTACCAACACCTGTAGCATCACCTAAGACAGCAGGAGAATTAGGATTACAAATATGGAAGATAATGAGATGAGGTCTACAACCACCAGGTCAATGAAGTGGACTTCTAGTAAGCTTAATGGTCAAGGAACCTATCTTCTCCACGTCTTTTGTACTAACTTATTAGAAGTAACAGTAGAAAACAGCCAATAACACATCAGAACTAGCCTCATCCAAGGACTGCCCATAACAAATACTTACCCTTACCATATAGGTTACTTGCTATAAGGACATCTCTTCATTCTATGCTTATCCTATCCTACACACTCCCCAAGTCAAGAGGTATTACTATGTGCAGTGAGCTTCAGTAAAATACATTTTGAAAACTCACATACAGAACATCAATAAATTATACTTAGCACGCCACACAACTTACCTCTTCCATTACTAAGGCTTGTGAAGTCACTTTCCAGCAGACCCACTACAACAGCTTTTATTCACTTTGTCTGAGCTTTAAATAGTGGCAAGTCTTCCAGCCAATCAAAGGCAAGCCTGTGAACACCTCTGATCAAAGAAAGAGGCGTGGCCTGAGGAGACTGAGTGATGACTAGGTAGGGATGCATTCAGCCACATTGCTAAATGACTCGTCTCCTCATGGGACCCCTTACACTTCACTCAGCAAGAAGATCCTTTCTTGTCAACTCCAGCACTGTCAAGGTGCATGAAGGCATTTGTCTCCCAGCTAGTGGGAGAGAAGATGGGTATTGGGGCCAACCTTTTGAAAAGGCTGTGATCCTGTGTACACGTGTGTGTGTGTTAAGTGCAGTCAAATTGCTTCTGACTTATGGTGACCCTATGAATGAATGATCTCCAAAACATCCCATCTTGGAAACTGAGGGCTGTGGATTCCTTTATAGAATCAATCCATCTCATGTTGGGTCTTCCTCTTTTCTTGCTGCCTTCTACTTATCTTAGTAAAAGTTAAAGGTAAAGGTTCCCTTGCTCGAAAGCCAGTCGAGTCCGACTCTAGGGTTGCGGTGCTCATCTCCGTTTCAAAGCCGAAGAGCCAGCGCTGTCCGAAGACGTTTCCGTGGTCATGTGGCCGGCATGACTAAACACCAAGGCACACGGAACGCTGTTCCCTTCCCACCGAAGTGGTCCCTATTTACCTACTTGCAATTTCTTGCTTTCGCACTGCTAGGTTGGCAGGAGCTGGAAGTAGAGATGGGAGCTCACTCCGTCATGCGGCACACTCGGGGCTCGAACTGCTGAACTACCGCCCTTCCACAGCCTGCAGTTCAGCGTCTGAACCACTTGAGCCACCGCAGCTCCTACTTATCTTAGCACTGTTGCCTTTTCCAGTGAGTCTTATCTTCTCATAATGTGACCAAGGTATGCTAGCCTCAGTTTAGTCATTTTGGCTCCTAGGGAGAATCCGGGCTTGATTTGATTTAGAGTCCACTTACTTGACTTTTTGGCAGTCCATGGTATTTGTAAAACTCTCCTTCAATACCATGTACATTTCCTGGGGAGCAAGCCTTATTGTTCTCAATGAGATTTATTTCTTAGGAAACATACATATTTATTATAAACTGGGGCTGCACATGTGAGACTTAGTTTATACCAAGAGGAGACCAAGGCACTCTTTGTTGGTATTTCTGCCATTAGACTGGCTGAAAGTCTAAATGCAGTGCTAGGCATACAGGACTTTCACCAGAGAGATAAAGTTCCACTCCAATAGGAGTTCTCTATGACTGCCAACTGGCCCAAAGAAAAGTGTCCTGTCCCTTTAAGAGAAGTTTAATGGGATATTAATTACCACCTGATGGTATGTGTCTTCATGCCATGGAAAGCTTCACCTGCCCATTTGCACTCATTAAAGGGACTGGAATTTCTTCTCCCAGTTGTTGGCAACAGAGAGTAAAGCCCAGTAGCAACTGTTGACTAACACTGAACTCAAATTTGTTTTCTATTTGATTCTATTAGCAGAATCAAGTACAATTGTGTAGTAATTCAGAGGGCTGTTCAGATCACACAAATGTATTAAGCTTCCTTATACTGAGTCAGCCTATTGTTCTGGCAAGGCCAGTGTTGGCTGGTGGACCTCCTGATGGCACCTGGGTTTTGGCCACTGTGTGACACAGAGTGTTGGACTGGGTGGGCCATTGGCCTGATCCAACATGGCTTCTCTTATGATCATAGAATCACAGGGTTGGAAGGGGCCCTACAGGACATCTAGTCCAACCCCCTGCTCAATGCAGGATCAGCCTAGAGCATCCCTGACAAATGTTTGTCCAGATGCTGCTTAAAGACTGCCAGTGAGGGGGAGCTCACCACCTTCCTAGGCAGCTGATTCCACTGCTGCACAACTCTGACTGTAATTCCCCCCCCTCTTAATATCCAGCCAGTACCTTCCCGCCCTTAATTTAAACCCATTATTGCGAGTCCTCTCCTCTGCTGCCCACAGGGACAGCTTCTGCCCTCCTCTAAGTGACAGCCCTTCAAATATTTAAAGAGAGCAATCATGTCCCCCCTCAACCTCCTCTTCTCCAGAGTAAACATTCTTAACAGCAGCATCTCTTCAGGTTTTCGGGCATCCCTACTTCCCATGAGACTTCTTAGGTGACCTTGGGCCAGTTATTCCTTCTCAGCCTAACCTACCTCACCGATAGGCTTACCACGTGCCCACTAATGGGAGGCAAACTCTTGGTAGTTGTTGCCAAGGCCCACTGTTGCTCATCTGGTTAGCAGGCAAAAGCAGTGCTGGGGGACGTTCGTTGCCATGCAATGACATCACTTTTGGTACAATCTGGAAATGCCAACATCTAGCACTCACCCAGAAACTCCACAGAGTTTGGGGATAAGTGATAGATCGTAATTCTGGTGTGATGCTGTTGCTTCCGGGGTGTACCAGAAGTGATGTCATCGTGTGGCAATGAAGATTGCTTTCCCTCCCTGTGAGTACCTTCCTCCCCCATCTCCTGCCAGCTGCCAGGCCATGCCTGGTAACCCTACAGATGCTGTGAAGACAAAATGGGGGGGCAAAACATCTGGGCTCATCTGAGCTTCTGGGACGAAGATTCTCAGTTTGATCTCCACATATCTGGAGTGAGCTGTGACTCACAAAAGTTCATATGGAAATAAATGCCATTGGTCCTTGAGGTGCCACTGGACTTTTGTTTTTATCCTTGGAGAAAGGACAGGCTTACAAATACATACACTAAATAAATAATAGAATAATCAATGACGTTTTTCCAGGGCTGTATTTAATATTGCCAACAGGCCTAGAGAACAAAAATATTCTGTCTTTCTAACGGCACCAAAGCAAATCACATCACCAGGTAAATAACATCTTGTGAAATCTCTCTTAAAAGCATAGGGCATTTGTTTTCGTCCAGGTAGTTGGTAACTCTAATTACCATCCACCAGCGCTCCACAGTTCCAGCTACTTCAATGAAAGAAGTTGCCACTTCACTGGTTACTTTCTACAGCAGGGGTGTCAAACTCATTTGTTTTGAGGGCCAGATCTGACATAAATGAGAGTTTGTTGGGCCGGGCCATGTGTGTCATAAAATGTAATGCCAGGTAGCGGAGATATAAACTTTATAAGGGACACAAACACAAAGATTTTTTCCCTTAAAATAAAAACATGCTTAAAACATTAGCACTCTTGCAAGATTTTGTTTATTTAACAGTATCTGATAACTGACACCTCTTGCTCTGAATTATTGGATCAAAATGTCTGTGCTGTTGCAATCTTGAGTATGCTGTTCAAGTGTGTATCTGTAAGCTGTAAATAAATATAAATAAGCTGCAAACCTACTTTTGATTTATTGACATTCACCACAGAAATCTCATGCTCAGAGGCCCCTGCCACACGGGGGGAGAAAGCATGGCCAAAGTGCGGCTTTTTAGAGCCGCACCAAAAGAGACACGTGGCGGCGAGATCACATAGATCCCCTGAGCTGCCACGCAGTTGCTCCCTGGCATGATCAGATGCTGGGGGGAAGCCACTTAAGGGAGAGTGAGGCAGCCGAACTGCGCATGTGTGCGCATGCGCAGTTTGGCCGGGAGTCTGGATTGCTCCTGAAGACGGGCGCTCTGGCGCTCCGACGGCCGCACTTGCTGTGGCGTTGCAGGTAAGTCCTGCTCTTTAGCAGGGTTTTTTCCCCCATCCACATTACCGGCCTGAAGGGACGAATCGGGGATGGGTGCACGCTGATTCCCAGATGTTGCGGTGTGCGATTCCCAGATGTTGCGGTGTGCTCGCACCCGTTTGCTGCGCCCCCGATCCGTCCCTCTTCTGGGCCAAAACCTCCCGTGTGACCGGGGCCAGAGTTCTGAGCCTAGGACCCAGGTTAAAATGTGAAATGGCTGAGTGATTAAGAGAGTCTGGAGCAGCAAGCTATGATGCAGCAGCAGAACTGGAAGCAAGAGATGGTCAGTTCCACTGCAGGCCTGATGGAAGCCCTCTGGGGGCCTGATCCGGCCCCCGGGCTGCATGTTTGACACCCCTCTTCTACAGCATCAGGCTGCTGTGAAAGGTGGACAGCTAGGGAAAAAAGTTGGTGTCCTTACGCAGATGTCCAGAAGAACTGAAGGTAGGCCTGCTTGCCTTGTTTATGGGCAGGGCTGTTGTGCCATTAACAACCACAGAACAAGGCAGGTAAATCCCTTCTCCAGCAGTTAAAAGGTACAATAACATTGGTAGCCCTGCCTCTTGGTTCCTGGCAGTGATACAAAAGTAAAAGGCAGAGACCGAGGGTTGCCAAATGGCCTGAAGAAAAAACAAATATTCCGTCCCTTTAATAGAGACTTAATGGCACTGCAAGGAAGAGATGCACCTGCCCATTTCTACTCATGAAGCCTCTGTTAAAGGGACACAGTGTTTTCACACTAGGCCCACTGGTAACCCTGAAATGGCAAGCCTAACTGAAGATGAATTCACTCCTTTTTATGTGTGGGTGTTCATGATAAGAAGGAAGAACAGCTTGCACTCCTGTCATGGGAAAGTACAAGTAGCCAGGTGGCTGGAAATCTTGTAAAGTGGGTTTTGGATACAGCAATCTGTTCTGTTTACCCAGATAACTCTGGGAATGGCAGCAGAATGACATAAACAACAGTGAAAGATTAGATATAACTCATGTCTCATTCTTCAGAATTAAGGTGACAGTGGAAGAGGTTTAAGTCCTATCATTCCAGAAAATTCCTGAAGTCCCTGGATTTTGAATGTTGCTCTGTTAGAAATGCTGAGGGTCGGTGAAGGCCCTTAGATCCTTGCTGCTAAAATAATGTAAGGAACGCACATCAACAAATCATTAGTATCTATTATAAATCAGTCACTAACTCAGGGAATCATCTCAAAGTCCCTCAGATGGTTATCTGTCCACTACTTAAAAAAAAAAAATCAATTCAGAAAAAAGATGTTTCTCTAATCTGCCCTTT